GAGACTGACAAAAGAGTGACCTATCAACAGATTCGGACAAGCTTAGGCATCGGTATGAGTCAAGTGCACAAAATCCTCCACGAACATTTAGCGGTCAGGAAGCTTTGCGCCCGGTGGATACCTCATAATTTGACTGAGGCTCAAAAACTCCATCGTGTGGATTGGTGTCGTTAAATGATTGAAAGATTAAACGGAGGTGACTCAAATGCTGTGTTCGACATACTAACAGGTGACGAAAGCTGGATTTACTGTTATGATCCTAAAACCAAAAGACAATCTGCTCAGTGGGTGTTTCCTTTCGAGGAGTTGCCAACTAAAGTGAAGAGAGATCGAAGTGCGGGAAAAAAAATGGTGGCCTCGTTCTTTGGAAGGATAGGTCATTTTGCAACAATTGTGTTAGAGGATCAAAAAACAGTTTTTGCAGAATGGTACACTACCAATTGTTTGCCACTTGTCTTGGAAAAAGTTCGAGAGAAACGACCTCGCAGTAGGATCCTCCTTCACCACGACAACGCCTCGTCGCACACCGCCAAGCGAACGATCGACTATTTGGCGACATCAAACGTTGAATTACTGGGTCACCCGCCGTATAGCCCCGACCTCGCGCCTTGTGATTTTTATTTATTTCCAAAAATTAAAGAAAAACTTAAAGGAAAGCGGTTTATGAATGCTGAAGAAGCGGTGGCTGCGTATCGCGATGCCATTGAAGAGACCCCTATGGACGAGTGGGCAAAGTGCTTTTCCCAGTGGTTCCATCGCATGCAGCGGTGTATTGACGTGAATGGACAATATTTTGAAAAGATATAATAAAACTAATAACTGGCTAATGTAATCAGTTTTTGATTTTCTAAGAACTTTCAGTTTGACCCTCGTTAAAAAACAAAGTATTAGTAACCAGATATATAAAAAACTAAATAATATTGCAAGATATTAATATAATTATTGCGCTTTTAGAAATGAACACAAGGTCATTTAGAAAAAGCTACAAAAATACCGGAATTAATCGAGAGTTTCAAGACAAAATAAAAAGCTCGACCTACATTTAGGTTTAAAATTAAGTGAAGAAATTTTACAGTTTTGCATAGCCTGACGTGCTGTTGACAATGACAATTGAAATTACTGGTTTTTTACATACACACCTTTTTAATTTACCCTGGAATATAAGCTAAAGATATATACAGTGTCGATACTTTAAATTCTCTCAAGTATCCCTATGGGTTATGTGGTCCTCATAATATCACCATCACCATCACCATCACCAGCCCTTTTACGTCCCCAATGCAGGGGCTCAGGCCTTCCTTATGGATGGTTAAGGAGGATGGGCCATGACCCTCCACGCTGGCCCAATGCGGATTGGAGAGTATTACATAATAATATGATATCTATAAATATTATTGTTGGCGACAGCTTTGCCAGCCTCTTGGGATAAGTTTTTTTATTATAGTTCTTCATATCTATTCGTTTGAATTTGTTGTATGTTCTAAGATATCTTCGGCAAAAGTAAAACTATATTTGTTAGCTTTTTTTTTTCACTTTCGTTTGTATTTAGTTTTATTGAGGTTCCGTGTTCACACAAGATTAAGGTGTGATTATCTTTTTAATGAAAAGTGTAGCTACCTTCAAAAAGCAAACTATTGGACACATCCCCAATAAAAAAAAAATATGACAACGTTTACATTTATTAAATTAAATTATTTTAAAAATACATATGACTACCGTAATCTACCACCAGTTCTAACTTTGAGAGTCTTTTCTGAGAAGAACTGGCGAAACAAACTCTGACAAGAGAAAGTAAATTGCTCCCTTTAATATAATATATACCTCTATCTTTTGGTTTTGCAATGTGTGATCTGTATGGAAATTTTATTAGGCTAATCACGGGATCCCAAGAATTACGTATATGCCAACCTTCATCTTCTGAATTTTGATAGAGTTTTTTATTTTATTTTATCAGGTATGACACAAAAATTCACTAGTTTTTCTCTCATATATTCAGTTACTGCTAAATATACTAAAATAAAACAATTTCATTATATTTTTTTTTTCCAGAAAAGCTTATTAAGCAACTATAACATAAACTTTAAAAATATAGAACCTGCCCGCGTTCCATTTCAATAACATTTTATAAAACCCGGTCACGCTCTATTTATGAAATTCCCAGAGCTGAAGGACAAAAAAATAAAGCACGTATTATATACTATTACTTTTCCAGCGGCTTCGCCCACGAGGTCTTGAATAATACATAAAAACCTTCCTTTAAAATCACCCTATCTATGAAAAAAAACCGCATCAGAATCCGTTGCGTAGTTTTAAAGATTTAAGCATACATAGGAATATAGGGACAGATAAAGCGACTTTGTTTTAACTATGCAGTGATTGAGTATTCTACTGACAAAAGAATTTAAAATAGGGTGCTATGATTTTTGATTTTACTCATTACAAACTACAACACGTACTTTTTTCTCTTTATAATATTGTTTTTAATGGAAAAAATGGAAACCGTATAAGACTCAGAGATCCATTTTCACAGTCGATTTACTCCAAAATTACAGGACCAATTGAACAAAAATTTGGTACAAATATGTGAATCGCTGACCCAAAGTACGTCTTTAGGTCAGAGGTTCACATATTTGTCTAACGTAATTTACGAATAAAAAGCAAATAAATATACTTGTTGTGAGCTTATATGTAACTGCAACAACCCAAAATTCAGTAATTCTTACGATTTTCCAGTAATATTAAGATTCAGTCTGTGATCGTTATCCGTTTCAAACTTTAACGATCATACACTCGATAAACCTAAGGTAAATGTTTATAGACAACTCCAAACATACAATACGGTGATGGATTTTTCTGTGTAATTCTGCTGGTAAGGTTAGTATAATGTTTTGAATTTCTGATAAATATAATACATACATTATTTGATAAGGTTAAGGTATAATTTTGTTTTGATTAAACTGTAACTGTGACGTATTAATAATGATAATCAAAGTATATCATTACAATGACAGTTAATATTACGGAAGGCTTGGACTGATAGATAATGAAATTTAAGATTATGAATTTAAGATTATGAAATAGATTATGAAAAACTACAAATGATACAACGTTTAAACGGTTTCATCGCGTTTGAATTTAATTTTATTGATGTTTCGGACTCTTTACAGGTTCCGTATTCACATAAGATTCAAGGAAACAATTATGAAATACTCATTGTTTTATTTTCAATAGGTACTAACATTTACCAACCGTCACTGGTCGAACTTAGTATATTAAAAACTCTAATAATAATAGCCCGAAAAACTGTTTCTTTTTCATTTACCTTTTAACAACCCATCCTTGGCAATATAATAATATTGTAATGGTCTAGGGTTGCCTTAAAATATCTGGGCAAAATTTCACTCAGGACGAAAACCCATACGGTGTTTCTGCGGGTCGGAATTTTCATAAGCAAAATAAAGTTGGCACCGCTGATGCCGAGCAATCGATCGATAGTATCGATTATTTTACTTTTGTAGGGGATATTTCCTTTTATCGAGGCTCGTGGCATCCATATGGGTAGTAAGAAGATATGTTGCTCGGTAGGTGTGTGTGTGAATAAAGTGAATAAAACAAACTCCAGTGTCTCATTAGGAGCCGTCCATAAATTACGTCACACGAAATTCAAGATTTTGGCGTTTTTTGAATGGCACCTTATTGTTTTCTCTTCTATTCTATTCATTATGCTACACTTCATAATGTCTTTGTCGGGTTATAAAAATCTTTATCCAGTGCTAATCTCTATTAAACACCGGAAATCTGTATAAATATGAAGAAATCTGGTTATATGGCAACATTGGCTCTAAATTAGGGCTAGTATTAGGGCCCCTAATACAGACAGAATAGTGAACTGCGCCGCAGCAAAAACTGATTTAACTTATTTGCTCGCAGATTGTTACGATTGTATAAGTATTGCGCAATTTTTTTCGGGGACTAAAATATTCACAAATTTTCCCAAAAAAAAAATACAACAACAACTGGAAAAAACTGGCAAATTTCACTAGTAACTGTATTTATCGAGAATAAATTCACATTTTAGTTGTTTATCAGACAACCTTTAGAAATATCTCGATGTTATTATTGTAGCAGCTCGGTGGCGTAGTGGATAAGCGCCGCGGCCCGCGATCGTAATCGTTAAGTAACTTTCGCAAGGGTCGGTCACGGGATGGGTGACCATAAAATTATTATCTCGAGCTACTCCGTGCTTCGGAAGGCACGTTAAGCCGTTGGTCCCGGCTGCATTTGCAGTCGTTAATACCCTCCAATTCGCATTGGGCCAGCGTGGAGGGTCATGGCCCATTCTCCTTAACCATCCATAAGGAAGGCCTGACCCCCTGCAGTGGGGACGTAAGAGGGCTGGTGATGATGTGATGATGAGATGGCGCAGTAGTTAAGCATCTTTCGATATGACCGGTCAAAAGATGGGTGGTCGAAAATATATTGTCTCGTTCATCATGCTTTGGAGACAGTCAATCTTTGGTCCCAGATTCATCTGCAGTCATTAACATTCATTCTCCCTATTCGATTATATCCATGGAGAAAACCTATTGTTCAGCAGTGAAGCTATATACTACGTTATTTTATTGTACACTCCTGGCCTATGGTAAAATAAAACCCAAGACGAAAATTACTATATAAAAAAATAAAAAAAAGCGGTTAATCAGAACAGAGTTCATTGTTTTATATATAATTTAATATTTCCTTTATAATTCAATGTTTTAAACACAGATCTCTAACAGTCTAAAATCAATTAAAATAAATTGTGAAACATTTACATATGGAATATTTTTATTAGATTTACAAGCAGAAAATTAGATAGTTAATTATACGTTATGCATTGGGAAAATTCCCCAATCCAGGGGTTCTGTCTTTACAATTTTTTTTTTACTATTTGTCTAAGAATACGAATACACAGAATATAATATGTATAGTTGAAAATGATTGTATAAAAAAATACTTACGCCGCAGCAGCGGGTCTGGAACCCGGGACCGGTGGACAAGTTTCCGCGACCGTTACGAAGCCATCACTGTCACCCTCTGCAAAGAAAAATAAACCTTATTAGTAAATAGATACGTATTTTTTGTGAAGAGTAGGACAGTAAAATTTGCGAGTTCGGTCTGCGGAATACAGAAGTTAAGCAACTTTCGCATTGGCCGGCCATTGGATGGTTGACCAATAATTATCCTAAAGCTCTTCCGTGCTTCGGCACGCTAATCTGTTGGTCCCTGGTGTATATCTACAGTCGTCGCAGTCATTCTCCCTATTCGACCCGTTTTCATTCATTGGGAAGGCCTGCGCTCCAACTGAGACATTAGTAAGCGGATAATGAAATAGATTTCTTCATAAAGAAAAAGAAGCTCGGAATCCCCGTCCAATTTCAAAAGAAGGTGCAAGAAGATTCTAGTTATTGAGTACTATTTTTGGATGTGTCTGAATTCAGTTATTGAGCTAATGTTTAATTTTATGTGTAGCTTATTTAGCTAAATGGGACAATAGGGATAATGACTGGGTAAAATACAGGAAATTGTAATTAGTACTTCAGTCAGATATAAAAATATTAGATATGTATTTTTTTTTACTTAAATTTAACAAGAAATAGCTTAGATAACAGGCAATAAAGTTGACGAGTGGGGGCTTGCTATGTCACAGTCTTATTTATTAATTTAATTGGTACATACAACAGTACATAAAACTCGTTAAAATATTATTACAACAATATTTTAACCACTAACATAAACAATACAGAAGTTGTGAAATAAGCTTGACAACAAAAGCGAGAGGAATCGAGATTAAAAAATGCATTGAGAAAAGCATCACCAGCATGCATTGCATAACAAGGAAAAAAATAATATCATAAAATATAGATACATATTTTCATTCATATATTAATATTATGCCCATACCTGAAATCATGCATTGCATAATCATTAATAAACATAATTAAAAAAACATACTTCCACGTATACACTTATTCACACACGCACACGTAAACATACTCATATGTTACCATAGTTAAGTTTCAGGTTTTACTTTGGTTAGATGAAGGTAGAAGAGTTAACTTTATGCCTTTTTGAAAAGCTCCTTTGTTCCAAAGACAATATCAGTTTTGGAAAACTTTGTATTGTACAGTCGCGGAAGACGACTTTTATAGAAAATATGACGTCATGTGACATTTTAATTCAAAGTATCGCTGTAATTTCTTTGATTACTAAAAAAAATACGTATTTAATATTTTTCAAAAATCTTTCTGAAGGACAAACAAACAAAAGATTACTCGTCATCCCAATTCACCGTCTAAAAGCAGAAATGTGGTCAGATTACCGATGACGTATCGTTAGCGTCCACAGCTTAAACCTTCCATTTATCATTAGGAAGGTTTGTTTACCACCCTTATGATTAATTAAGCTCACATGAAAAAGTATGTGCAATATTAAAGCTAATGACTTGTTTATTAGATTTTTCATTTTTTATGATACTGTCTGTTTTACCGCGACTTCGCCTACGTAAATTATATTCTACATCATCCGTGTAGTTTTTCGTAAGTGGAAAAAAATCCATGATCGGGTCATTATTTCGAAAAATTACTTCCTACAAACAGACAAAGTTAGAAATAAGCTGTTGAGATAAAATAAAAAACGAAAAAGTAGTATAAAAACAACTTGTATTTCTTAATATACGAAAAAATTAAATAAGTCATGTATCAAGGTACTAAAAACTTTTTAAAAAAAGAGTGATTTAATTATTAAGGTATAATCCTCGCTAGTCGCTAATGCACCTGGGCGCTATTTTGATGACGTAATTGTGTTCAACAATCAGTACCGTTAACAAATTAAGTTGGGTTAAGATCACACATAATTTTTGTTATACTTTTATTGCTTCCGATTGTTATTCTTTTATTGTTACTTATTATGGTTGACTAAAATAGCAACTGCTATTATGATTTCCACAAAAAGGAAACCTGATGTTACTAAAAATAAAATAAAGTCCCTCATTTCATAATTATTTTGTCGATATTTTAAAAAGTCGTCCTTTCCTTTTGTTATCGCGTTATTTCAAAGTAAATGTCATTCTCTTAATATATTTATTATATACCTCAATCAATATTATACATATAAATTGAAAATTCTTGCAATAAATTAACACTACAATTATTATATTTGATCAATTTTATTAATATTATCATTAATGAAAAATGCTTAAAAATTGCATTTTGAATTTCAGTATAGCATTGCGAATGCAAAATTGATAATATATTATAATTAGAATAAATTTTCATCTTTATAGAAAGTTTCAATATTTGTAAAAATATTCCGTCGGCTGTTTGGCTGGATTGCCTGAACATTAATGAATATACGTTCTGTAGTAGCAAAAAAGTAACTAGTGCTTGAAAAATTCATCAGTCCTGTTAGGACCTGGGTAACTCAGTGGTTACAACAGTCGCCCGGATTGCGAAAGGAATCAGTTGAAAAGAATGAGTTCGAGTCCCATCTCAGAGTGCCAGGGACAAAGTAGATTTTTAAACAAACTAATTTTCTTGCATTTTCTGCTATCTATACTTTCTATTTTCAAATGACATCACGTGGGTGTTCTTTAGACAAGGTTCCAGCGCATTTGCAATGCGGGACTTATACTGAAAACTTTTGTATTAAAATCTAAGAAGTCTTAATTTCTAGGGGAATTTTAATACTTAAAGGGTAAAAGGGAACCCTATTACTAAGACTCTGCTGTCTGCCTGTCACCAGGCTGTATTTCATGAATCGTGAAAGTTTGACAGTATACATTTTCACAGATGATGTATTTTTATTGCAACAAATACTAACCAGAATAATATAAATATTTAAGGGGCAGCCATACAACAAACTTGAATTTTTTGCTCGTTTCTTGGTTCCGTTTTTTGCTCTACGTGCGCGAGTCCGACTCGCACTTATCTTATTTTTTATAATTAAAATACAATTTGGTGGGGCATTGCTAAACACAATGTGCTGTGAAGCGTCTATCGTTCATCATGAAGAAACAACTTTGTAATGGTTACAAAAACATTTGACAGTTCTAATCTAACTAAACAAACCGAGACCAATTGCTGTCATCGGTGACTGCAGTTTTGAAAGACACCAAGCAGTCTTTATTACTCATCAAGTGATAAAAAACGACAATTTATATTATTGTACTGTCTTTTTCTTATTATAAGTTCGATTAGTTATATTACTATAGGACTTTCAATTTTAACCTGCGTAATTGAAATTATAGTTGACGAAATCTTATTGAATATTTGCCTGCTTTATAAAAACATTTCTAAGTAAGATAATTTGATATTTTTGCACGATGTAACCGCATAGAATTAAACGAGTACTTATGATATTCTTTCACTCGTATCTATTAGTCGGGAGAAGTTATTTCTTGAGAAAATGTCATAAATTAAATAGATATCAACAGGTAACCGTCGGGGGCTAGGTGTGGAGCTGCCCCTGCTGGATCCCACGTTGTTCCTCCAAAAGTGAGGGTACATCGGAGGGGTTTAGTGGGTATGCCATCCACTTTTTGACAATCCATCAGTCCGTGTATGTGGAGAATCGCACATACCCGCTGTCGCCTGTCAAGCGGCAGGGACAGTGGATAAAGAAGTCCCAATATCAGAAAAATAAAATATTTTGATTGAAGTAAGTACTGTCAAAAGTAAATTGTAATAGTTAATTTAATATGTTAATGTAATAGTTAATAAAAAGAATTCGATTTTGATTAGGAACGTCCTTTTAGTTATGCCATCATGTTACTATACGTTGTAGTTGGGCAGAAACCCTAAAGTAGTAGCCGTAGAAATTATTTAAAAAGTTTTCCGTGCTTCTGTGGCCTCAGAGTAACGATGACTAAGAATTAATTTACAAGGACAATGACAAATTTATTATTTTAGCTGTTTCATCCGAGTTAGTTAGTCTGTAAGACGCACGGTCAGTTCCATAAATGTTCATTAAGGTTTAATGATGCCTCTAATCTCTAATGAATTGACATCTTAAAGTTTTAAAAGTAAAGATAATTTTAATGGATGTTTGTGCAAATGGCTGCCAATTACTATGTATTTTGTGCATTAGTTATTTCTTATATTTTTCAATCACCTTAGAAATATGGTTTTGTGAAAAATACCTCAATAAATCTGCCATAACAAAAGGATAATCTAGTTAAATGCTTGATAATCACTACATAGTATAAAACAAAGTCGCTTTTTCTGTCAATATCCCTCTTTAAAACTACGCAACGGATTTTGATGCGGTTTTTTCCATAGACAGGGTGATTCAAAAGGAAGGTTTTAGGTATAATACAAGACGACGCGGGCGAGCCGCTGGCGGAAATCTGGTTAAAAATAAAAATAACACGTTCAATTTTAAATTAAACAAAATGAGCTTTTTTGTAGAAGACATTCGACGAAAATATAATTTCTTCCAATATAAATTGATAGCTATTTCAAACATTACATTATTAACCTATATTTCAACATTACATTAAAAAAAAACTAGCGTTTTTACAGTTAATTAATTGATATTCTCCACCATTGACGCTAAAAAACATGACAAATACTGACCATATTGATAGTTAATCTGTGAAACCTTCAAAAAGCTTTAAGACTTTTTGCGAATATTAATCCGCGGTGTCATGGTTCATCGTAAACGCAGCTTTATAATAAAAGAACTGTCTTTTTTTATTTCTAATTCAATGAATATAATTAAATCCTAATCGCGGATTCGTGAGACAGACCGTGACTTGACTTTATGTAGACAGACATTGCCCGTGACGAATGTAAGCAAAATTGCATTTCGGATCGATTACAGATTGATAGACTATGATATCTTTAGTGTAAACACTGCCTTAGAATGCGAGTTACTGGCACGTCCCACATTGACGTTAAATGTAACGTTGAATATAGATTCAAGATTCAATTATTATTTACCCGGTATAGACCTATTTACGGTCATTTATTTAAAAAAGGCAGTAAGGCTTTCGATCTGTAATAATTACAGAAAATAAGCAACTTCGCATTTGTAAA